TTTTTTTTTTTTTCCTACCAACAGACATGCTTTGCTTTGAGCTTCTTTCAAGAGCTCAGAAGACTTTTTAAATGTTTGGGCTTTTTTTTTCCTTCAGTAGTCTAGGAGAGCAGTGGTAAATATCAGTAATTTACAAAACCTGTTTGGGAAAGAAAAACTGGAATTGCTTAGTTTCAAGAGACAGTTGATGGAAGGTAAAAGTTTTCAGTCACGTAAGAGGCTTCTGCAGAGAAGACAGAGTAGATAGGCTAAGAAGTAATGGATTTACAGGGCAATGAGAAAGATTGGAACTGGATTAGAGAACAAACTCTAACAATATAGTGAGTGAAATGTTGGGAAGTGTTTGGGGATGCTGTAGCGTATTTATGACTTCAGGATTATGAGGGAGCAGTTCTCATAATGTTTTTTGGGCGGGGATGGGGAAATGGATCAGAGCAAATATTGATTTCCCCTAAGTTCAAGGAAGCAGAGGTTTTCTGGTGTCTTATTCTGATATGGCCATTTTTTGTGCCACAGAGAATGGGCAGATAATGAGGTTCCATTTAATACTGTAGGGAAACTCTTACTCAAGCTAGCCTCTTAAGCTCAGAGCTAAGGGTTGAACGATTCAAGTTCTCTGACCATTCCTGTTTTTATAATTCATCCTCCAAAGTGGCTGAGCATGTTGATGGGTCATGTCTGGAGGTAGGGTTCATGGGGAATCACAAGCCATAACTTGTCTTTCATATTTAGAACCGAGCAGTGAAAATGGAGTGGCAGAAGATAACATGGATATTAGTGTGGTAGATGTGCTACACCAGAAATATCTCAACTCCAACCTGTATCAGAGCACAAAGGAAACACTGGGGAAAGTGGAGCTTGGACGAGGAAGCAAGCAGGGAGTATCCAAGCAAGGGCATGAGATTACCTATGCAAATGGATTCCTCACCCAGCTGTACTGGGTGTCCAAACGTTCCCTGAAAAACCTCATCAGGAATCCACAGGCCTCTGTTGCACAAGTAAGTAACAAAATGTTAAAAGTCTCAGACTCCCTCTGCTCTCAGTCCTGCAATCTGAAGTTTGTAGGACAGATTTTTGTTTCAAAGGCAACTAGGGAAACAGGAAAGTCCTGTACCACTTAAGTGGAGTGAGAAACCCAGCTACCTTTGTTGCCTTTGAAAAAAATCTTAGTTTAGCATGAGGACTACTGCACTGAAGTGTGGGGAGTTGGGGGAAATGCTCCATTCTCTGGTTCACATGAGGAGCTTCTAGGCTGATGGTAATTTTATGCCTCACTTGACATTTTAAGCTGGGTTAGCCTGTGAGTGTGCTTCTGCTAACCTTTCCAGCCAAAGATCAGAGGAAGGACAAAAGTGAAGAGGATAAACTATGAAAATTTGCCATAAGGCTTTTCATGGTGTGTGTCATGGAGTGACAACAGCCAAGTTTTAGGCAGGTGTGGATCTTAAACCCTGTGTGTGCCTTAATAATGTTTGGCCCTATTTACTTATCTGAGGGACTCCTTTTTACTTTCCCTCTTTCCACTTCTAGATTGCAGTGACGATAATTCTAGCCTTGGTTGTGGGTGCTATCTTTTTTGGTGTAAAACTGGACCGAAGTGGCATTCAGAATAGGTAAGTTGGAAAGTCATTGTTTTGCTCATTTTTCTATCTGGGACAGACAGATTTCAGCACCAGGGAAGGCCTTGGGGTGCCCCTGGACCACAAAGGAAGATGAGGTTCACAAGCCTCAGTGCACTCGTCAGGCTTGCACATATGTACAAAGGAGATACGAAAGGGAAGATAAAGGAATAAACCTTTGAGTTTATTAGGTTTTACAGCTAAGATCTACAGTAGCACAATGAAATATTTCCATTCTCTGACCAGCGACAGAAAAGCACTGACTTGGTGCTATGATGATGTCTGAGGCTGCCAGTGTTGATCTAGGCTGTTTCCTCACTTTCTGACTGTTCTTTTTCACATTGTAGGGTTGGATCCTTGTTTTTTGTCACCACAAACCAGTGTTTTTCCAGTGTCTCTGCAATTGAGCTGTTCATCAGAGACAAGAAACTATTTGTGTAAGTAGTGAGGCACTTAGACTGTCTTATACCCTGAATCGAGGTGGGGAGAGGATCTTACAGGCTAAACAAGATTATTTCCACCAAAGACTTAATTGCTCCCTTAACATCAGATTTTAATGGTAATTCTCAATTGGTCTGTAAAGCAAGGAGCTGAAATGCTAAGAGGTGGAGGAAGGAGGGGAGAAATAGAATGCTTTTAATTGCTTGCTGTCACAGCTTATTGAGAAGTGCTTTTCCTGCCCATTTTTGGTAACAGCTGTCTTGCAGTCTGCATGTGAATCCTGCAGACTGTGAGCACTGCCTGCCCTCTTCCTCACAGGGTTGAAATGCTGTCCTGCTATAGTCATAAGTGGTAGGACTATGGAAAGGTGAAGGGAGAGTTCTTGGAAAAGCTTCACAAGGGATGCTCAGACAAAGAGGGCTGCTGGCTGGCTTGCAAGAGCTCTCTAATAATCAAATGCATCTCTCTCTCTGTATATATGTATGTGTGTTGTGTGTGTGCATATGTATTTAAATGTGTGTATATACGATATGCACACACGTGTATATATACATATATGTTGAAAATGTAGTTTGAAGTAGCCTCCAGTTCATGGGATGAAAGGGCAAGAGACAGATCCTATGCAGTAAAGAAAAAATAGGAGATTTGTGCCTGGAATGCATATGTCCACCCACAGGTTGATAAGAGCTGCTTAATAATGACCCTTAGAGCTGCTCAGGAGTGAGTCTCCCCCCATACTGACATTTCTTGCCAGTCTGTCCTGCTTATCAGTTTATCTTACCAGCTGTGTCAATAGGGATTTTGGCACCTCACCAAATAAAGCATCTATTCATGAGCTCCATTAAGCAGTGAAGCAATCATAATGATATTTAATTGGCCTGTGAACTGGAGGCGAGTTGGTGTCCTAAAGGTGTTTTCCCACTGTTGGGTATCATTCCTTCTCCCTTGGAAGCAGCTGTATGAGTTAGCTGTGGGTGAAGTGTTCCTCCAGCTAATAGCAGTCTAATACTTTCCCATGCTCTTGTGTTAAGGATCATTGTCTTTCAAAAGAGATTTAGGAGCTTTTTTCCAAAACGTTACTTAGCAGTCAAATAGCCTGTCATTTATTTTCCTTAGAGGACTCTCAGGATGACTGCAGGGCCCATGAGACAGCTCAGCCCCTGCTTTACAGAGTGGGAAGGGATAACACAGAGAAAATAACTTGCATATAGAGGCGTCAGTGGTAGAGAGAGCAGAAACTGAGCTGGGATAAACCAGAGACCCATGCTGAGCCTGCTTCCTAGATAACGTGCACAACTCTGCTCATTCCTGTCCTCACAGCCACCAGTACACCAGTGGGTATTACCGTGTGTCTGCCTACTTCCTGGCCTTGATGATTGGAGATCTGCTGCCCATGAGAACAGCTCCAGCCATCATATTCTCATGCATCAGTTACTGGATGATTGGTAAGGAATTGATGCTTTCATTGAACCTGTCACCTTCCAACACGTTTGATTTCTGACTTACTCAGAGTTTCATTCCTATCTATAGCATGAAACTAGTTGAACCTTCAGCTGACTTAAGAGCTTGGCATTGTATCTTCAGAGGACTCAGGGGCAGAGAGACCAGCAATCTAAGACAGGGACCTACTTGACCACGTCTTTCAATAATGCTCTTTGGGCCTTTGGAGCAGGCACTGTTCCTGCCAGCTCCAAACTTCATCTTCCTTCCCGCTTTCCCTGTTTTGTGTAGGAATCCAAGGGTACTTCTCTGGGATTCATAATGTGGTTGTTTACTGGACTCTTTCCTCCCTGTTTTTTTTTGGCAGGATACCAAGCTGTTGCAGGCCAGTTCTTCTTCTTCATGCTAACCCTGGTACTGGTGTCCTACACTGCCACAGCCATGTCTCTAGCCATCAGTGCTGGGATGGATGTGGTGGCTGTGGCCAATCTGCTCATCACTATTTGTTTTGTCCTGATGCTTGTAAGTATATCAGGGTCTGGGTGTTTCTTTGGTGGAGGTGAGGAAGCAGCAGAGATAGGCTGAGAGAATGGGTTGAGCCAGCCCTAAAAAGGCTGAGAATCCACAGTCCTGTAGCATATCAGCCCCGTGCCTGTGATTTTATTGTCACTATAGTCAAAGATGTACCTCTACCAGCTTGTAAAGTAAGGGTCAGATCCTTGCTCAGGTGCAATTCAGTAGGTGTGATGCCACCAGAGGATTGCAAGCAGTGAGCCCCCAAAAGGTTTGTGTGTTTTTTGTTTTTTTTTTTAAACTACCCTTACAAAAAAAGATTTTTTTAAAAAATCTTCCAATACTAGAAATCTGTGTGACCAGATAGATCATTTAAAAGGAGAAAAATCTTGAAATAAACTTTACATCAATTGATCTTATTCCATTAATTTTAGTTGCCCAGTAGGATTAGCAGGAACATACCCCCTCTTTATTTTAATTTAGTATTGCCTTTGATTTCAAGAAATCACTTCAATACTCATCTTCAAGGACCTTCTAAGGAAGGGAGCAAGTGAGAAAAAGGAACTCTGACTTCTCACAGATGAGGGATGTGAGTTCTTTTTCAAAGAGATGATATTAGTGATGAAAATTCTGGACTGTGGGGCCTATCAAGTTACCTTGGAGTCAGAAGGCACAGGCATAACAGCAGTAGGAGGTTCATCCATCCCAGTGCACCTTTGCTGGGCAACTGCAGTATCTGTGCAGGAATGGTGTTTGCAGTAAGCAGAGTTTGTGACTCATTAGTCTTTTCTGTTCTATTTCAGATCTTTTCAGGCCTGTTAGTAAACCTCCCTTCTATAATGGGTTGGCTGAACTGGCTCCAGTACTTCAGTATCCCCCGATATGGCCTCACTGTGAGTAGAAAGCAGTCTTGGTCTCCTGTCAGTAACGCAGCCACACTGCTGCATCCTGGAGAGGTTTTGAGTATCAATGAAATAATCTTAAAAGTTAGATCTGGTTTATTTCCTTGCATGAACATGGTAAAAGAAGAACAAACCAGCCAGCCCCCTAAAAGAAGCAAAAGTAAATCTCTGTGTGAGAGGTGGAAGTCTCAGAGAATGAAAAAAATGCTTTTTGCCACAAAATTAGTGCTGCTTGGTCAGAAGCAGAGTGAGCTGTCCAGTGAGGCACTAATTCCCAGCCTGAATAGTTGATACCTATGAATAAAGTCAGGTGTTGTATGGCCTCTCTGGAGGCTGCTGTTTGGGTGGCCAGTCTGAGGTTTATGACAGTCCAACTGGCTAAAGGAGTTACCATAATGGCTGAGTGTCTCAGTCTCCAGCATGGGTTCCTATGAAATGAAATAGGACTTACTGCTGTTTATGAGTAATAAGGAGCTGGGGTACCAAAAAGCTATGGGTTCAGCTGCTTGAAACACAATAACTAGACATAGCAGGTCACCCACTGGTCACAGGTGGGAGTTGTGCTTCCATCTCTTGTCTTCAACCTGGCAAATTTCCTACCTTTGAGTAAAAAGGTGAAATGAATGATGGAGCTGGTGCTGGGTGTTGTGGCCAGGACCATGTTGACCTGTAGTGGCACAGAAAGCTGGGATCAAGGAGGATGTGAGATGTGTGAGACCTCCCCCCCCCGTTTGGGTATCACTGAGATATTTTATCAGTGTTGCTGAATGTGGAAGTGTCCCCTGAGACTGCAGACCTCCCAGGATGCCAGTGCAAGGGAACCCTTCCCCTCCTGCTTTGGCTGACTCTGCAATCTGCTTCAGTGTGCTGGTGCTGGGGTGTCTGCATGCAGCCATGTGGTTTTCTGGGTCAGTAAGCTGACTCAGATCAAAGTGGATGATTTGTTGCTGACAGGACAGAAAGCCATGGCTAAATCACTGAAATGCAGCTTTACAGTCAGTGTCTCAGACACCAAACCAACCTGCATGCAGAATTTGGAGCAGTTTCTCTGAAAGGCAGTGATTAAGAGTTTCTAAATAAAAAGCAACATATATATATGATTCCATGAAGACATACTTGTCTCCTAATAATCCTTTGAGGTGTTATAGTTTTAGCTCCACAAATCACTAAGTCTGTAGAAATCTGATGTCTGCTTCTTCTCCTAGGCTCTTCAAGTGAATGAGTTCAGAGGTCTCTACTTTTGTGGCAAGAATCCAAATGTTACAGCATTTCTGGGAGATGCAGACAGTTGTCCCCCCAGTATTTCAGGAGAAATGTAAGTCTCTAACTCATGATGGTTCTTGGGCCTGAATTATGATGGGTTGCTTAAAGAGAAGTCTGACTGTTCCAGATTTTCATATGATTCACTGAATAACCTCTCACGGGCCAGTCTCAGTAATACATCCCAAAATAATGTACTTTAGGATTATATAATAAAATTTCACAATGAGCTGAGAAAAGTAGGGATGAAATTTTACTCCTAAAAATAGGCAGATGAGCTGAATGAAATTTCATTTTTGGTAACGTAACCCTTGCTTGCCAGTTTTCTTCAACAAACCCAGTGACTTAGCAGTGGCAATACAATGTGTGGACATCTACAGAGCTGCTGGGAGGCAGTACCTGTGATCAGAAACGTGACTGCCCCCCAGAGCTTGTTGGTAAAGACTGACCTTCCTGCAGAGACAGCAGAGCGCCACGGTATCTATCCCCCGTGCTGCTGCCCCCTTTGAAATGCTCTTGAGGTCGTAGCAACGCAAGTGTCGGATGACACATGCTAAAGCCCCAGCACACCGAGCTTACTGCAGAGACCAGTGCTAGAGCACTCTTTCCCCTGCTTTTGGACCCCAAACCCCTGCTGGGAACCTCTAGTAATTGCTCTGTTCAACTAATGCTTTTGTACTTATCACGGTTTAATGTGGTTATGAAGGATATTCATAAATTGCCAGCTATCTATAAACAACAACTAGGATACTACTGAAAAATTATGAGAACCAGAGAGCTGCATTTGTCCCTTAAGCTTTTTTTAGTGATAGGTTACGAGGCTACTCTTTCCATCAGCTGTTTTGCAGAGTTGAGGGTAGAAGAATCTTTGTGGAACGGGAATAAAAGTAACTACCTAAAGACTTGGACCACATAAAAATACCAACTTCTGCCCCATGCTTTTTTTGCAGGTGTTCTGGTGAAGCATACCTGTGCAGCCAAGGAATCACACCTACCAGCTGGGCAATGTGGGAAAACATAGTGGCTCTCTTCTGCATGACTGTTATCTTCCTTATCATTGCCTATGCAAAACTCAGGTTTATGAGAAAGTTCACATAGACTCCAGGCTGCCTTTGCTCTGCTGCCTCTCTGTTCTTAAAACTACAAAGCTTGTTAGGCCCCACTGGAGATTGCCAAAAGATTTCAGCTGACTTTACTGGACTTCAAAAGGGAAACCTGTCCCCTTGTTTCTGGAGCATGAGCTCCACATGATTGTATGATTTGGGTTTTTAAGGAAAAAAAACATTAATGTACATTGCATAAGTGATTTTTATGGTAAGAGAATATAAGTCTCAGAATACTTTAGATACATTGCAAACTATATATTGTAGAGCACTGTTCTACTGCGGCCAGGAACTGTTCAAAGGGAAACATTTTCACAGAGTCATAGAATAGTAGCGTCTGGAAGGGACCTCTGGAGATCACCTAGTCCAACTCCCCTGCTGAAGGAGGTTCACCTGGATCAGGTCATACAGGAACATGTCCAGGTGGGTTTTGAATGTCCAGAGAAGGAGATTCCACAACCTCTGTTCCAGTGCTCCATCACCTTCACAGTAAAGAAGTTTTTACTTAGATTCAGATGGAAATTCCTGTGTTCCAGTTTGTGCCCGTTGACCCTTGTCCTATCACTGGGCACCACTGAAAAGAATCTGTCCCCATCCTCTTGATACCCACCCTTCAGGTATTTCTAAGCATTGATAAGATTCCCCTCAGTCTTCTCTAGGCTAAACAGCCTCAAGTGTCTCAGCTTTTCCTGGTAAGAGTGATGTTCCAGTCCCCTCATCATCTTCATAGCCCTCTGCTGGGCTCTCTCCAGTAGTTCCCATCTCTCTTGAACTGGAAACCCAGAACTGGACACAATACTGCAGATGTGACCTCACTAGGACAGAGTAGAGGGGGAGGAAAACCTTCCTTGACCTGCTGGTCACACTGTTCTTGATGCATCCCAGAATACCATTGCCCTTCTTGGCCATGACAGGACACAGCTGGGTCATGGTTAACTTGTCCACCAGGCCTCCCAGGTCCTTCTCTGCAGTTTTGCTTTCCAGCAGGTCAGCCTCTAGCCTGTACCAGTGCATGGGGTTACTCCTCCCTATGTGCAGGACTCTATACTTGCCCATATTGAACTTCTTTGGGTTCCCCTCCACCCAGCTCTCCAGCCTGTCCAAGTGTTGCTGAATGGCAGCACAGCCTTCTGGCGTGTCAGCTGCTCCTCCCAGTGTTGTACCATCAGCAAACTCGCTGCAGGTCTGGGCTGTCCCTTCACAGTGTGTTGGAGCTGCATTTGAGTTTGGAGTCCGTACGGGGCGAGCACTCCTTGACCAGCAAGAACAGTTATACTTCTAGTACTGCTCCATGAAGCTACTTGAAGAAACAACTTCTGCTTAATTAAAAACTAAGCAGCAGTGGTGTAAGACATCTCATGTGAAAAATACATACTGTTATTTATACTGTAGAAAAAAACCAAAACAACCAAACGCAAGAACACCAAAGCCAACACCCTCACCTCCAAAAAACAACCACAGCAAAAAAAATACCTGTACTATGTAAGATGGGTGGAGGAAATTCCTTATATATATGTGT